CCTATCTCTCCTATAGACCTGAATGTGGAGATGGCACACTTTGAGTCATGTACTCCTTAGGAATGGCAAGATACATGTAGGAAATGCTACCATTGCTTCTGGTCTCCTGCCCCCCCGCCCCAAAAACACACCTGATCTCAAGTAACAGAAGTCCATTCCATCAAATACACAAAGGAAACCCGTACGTTATCTTTTATGTTTGGTTTCTTTTTTTTTAAAAAATAATTGCTTGCTTTTGAAAAAAAAGTCACTGTAAGGTTTAATTTCCTCATACAGTTTCACTTCAGTGATGTTAGTCTGGGTTCCAAAAAGCTTTCTTCCCACTGTTGAAGGGACTTTTGTTCCACCCCGGGATATTTTTACCTTGGTTGCCAATTTGTATTTATTATGATATTATTGTGATGTTATGTATTTAACTGTTGTTCGCTGCCCAGAGTCACGAGGTTGAGAACTGTAGCAACGCATATTGAAATAAATAAATATTTTTATAAAAACAGAGGTTTAAAAATAAAACATCTTACAGATAATATTTCAATCTAGACAAGTCATTGTGGGTATCTTAAGCTGCTCCTTTGACAATTACCTTTAAAAGCTGCTCTATGTTCTGCCACAATTCAAACTCTAGATTAACATTCAATGTGTTTTCCAGATTTTGGAGTTACACCTACAGCTAGTTCTGGAAGCTCGAGCCCAATTCCAAGCAGCCATCCCCAATCCAGCGGCCTCCAGATATATTGGACTAAAATACCCTTTACTCATATTCAGTATACGCTTCTCATAGATTGGGTTTCCAATCTAACAGAAATAATCTGCGCTCATATTATTTTTCTCCATACTGACTCTGACATCCCTAAAATGATATTGCCCAAACCCAAGTAATAGCAATATAATATGGTTGCAAACAGGGCAAATGGTGTTTTAGGCTCCATTAATATAAGTTTTCTAAACATGGAAGAGTTCCATACTGGTCTCCTGATATATTGGATTAAAACACCCTTTATTCCTTGTCAACATGAATAAAAACGACAGCCTCACAAAGTCCTGCACAGCGAAAGAACCATAAGTGCTAGTTTGGTTTCTAGTGCAACTGTCCTACTGCTGAACAAACAGGCAAGCCCTTGCTGGCAAAAAATGGACCTGGTCTTATTTTGAATTTTCCAGTTCTACAACTATCAGCATCCTATTCAATTAGACTGACTTACTAAGTCAGCATCTCTGCATGTTTCACTTTTCTCAACTTGACATTCCAACGTTAAATACTGACTTTCAACAGTGCTGATTTGCATTAAAAAAACAGAACAAAACATGGCTTTCTGGATGGGCTGGATTTGTTTTTTCAATTTACCTTGCAAATTTAGCATGAGCCAAATCTACTGCCCATTCTCGGACGTCATGTCCAGAAGGTCTTAGCTTACGGTCAGTATGAAACAGAGTGAATTTTGAAAAAAACACAATCTGTCAATCGCTCTGGATGTTAAATGATGATCAGAGCAAAACTGAGATAGAGGAAGAACCTTCACAAGTTGGCGCACTGCATATATGCTAAACCAGCATTCCCAATATTTCCAGCCATGTTGGCTGGCAATTTTAAAGAGTTTAATTCAAGAAATCTACAGACCACTAAGTTATGAAAGTCCATGTCAACCTGAAGACAGCTTCAGATGTATACATATCTTAATTCATTTCATGAAAAAGACAACTGCATGGAAGACTGCTTTTACTTCCTTATCTGTTTGTGTCCAAGATAAGTGCGAAAGTTATTTCACCATTAAAGTAAAATGTTTTGTGACACATCGGTTAGATATACACTCAATGCTGTATAAAATCTCAGCTTAACAGTTACAGATTAATGGACAAAATCTTTTTGTATATTGTATGCCTCTGTTCCTGTATAGAATTCCCATTTGTCATTTTTTGCAGGTGGAAAATCCCTGTTCATCAGTTTATGCATGTCTGCAATCCGCATTTAAATTTAATGGACATTTGACTTTATTGGACTCTCTTTTTCCCCTCTTGGCTATTAAATTGAAGGTTTGCTGTAAATAACCAGGCAGAAAGCACCTGCTATTTCAACAGCAGTGGAGAAGTTGTTTTTTAAAAATAAAAATTAAAAAAAAATCATGTACATGCAGATTGGACAGTTGAAAAAAACTGAAACCAGTAAAAGTTTAAATTATTATATTGGCTAGACAATAATTCACTGAGGTCCAGAAGCCATTGTCCAACTCTGTCTTATAGCAAGCCTACTAAAGCCCTCTAACAGATGATGCAATCATTTTAGAAAAGCTCTCTGTATCTTTATCCAAAGCGTGGAGCAGATGTGCTATTAAGTCGGCAAGAGAGATCTTTTCCAGACTCTACAAACTGTTATTTATAGATTTAATCAGGAGAGAAGCCTGAACAACAACTGCATGTGTGCCTCCTCAGTTCAGACTTAGCACAAGAAGGGCATTAGACTGCAGTATTTATGTTTGCTTTTCTTCCCCCACCTATTCATATAGATACCCATCCAATGAGAGCTACTGCTGTGTGATAGAAATGCAGTGTTTTTACACACAAGACACTTTTAAATACACAAGAAGATCATCATGAACTAGCAAAGGAAAAGATCTTCCTATCAGCCCTCTCCCTGGCTGATGGACAACCTATGCAAATGAACAATATCTACAAAGATGGTTCAGCACTTACGACATGCATGTTTTTTTCTCAATTATTTTTTAGAATGAAAAGGGAAACACACTTGTTACAGAAGAAAATAAATGCACTAGAACATTGATCTCGGTACAGAATCGGGTTCATTGTGTTGTTGCCCACATGGGAAAAAGGGATATAGAATCATAGCCACCAGAGATGTCTACACCCACTTCTCCAGCACTTCTTTTTCTTTTACAAAAAAATGAAGAAGGTAACTCTCTAGATACTTAACACTGAGAATAAAATTATATTTTAATATAGTGAGCTGAAGTTATTTTTCTGTCTTCTTTTTAGATTCCAGAGCATTTTAACGTAAATGAGCTACTGAGTATAATTAATACTTTGTATCCCTGGTTCTCATAGATTGGATTTCCAATCTAACAGAAATAATCTGTATTCATATTACTTTTCTTCATACTGACTCTGACATCCCTAAAATGGTACTACCCGAACCCAAGTAACAGCAATTTAATGTAGGTTGCAAACAGGGCAAATGGTGTTTTAGGCTACATTAATATAAGTTTTCTAAACATGGAAGAGTCCTATACTGGTCAGATGTCATCTCAAATGTTACATTTAGTTCTATGCACCATATTTTTAAAAAGATTCAGACCAACTGGAATGGAAGCAAAGAAGGGCAGTGGGAATGATAAGAGCACTAGAAATTAGATCTGACAAGGAGAGATTGAGAAAACTGGTTATATAAAGCCTTGAAGAGAGAACACAGAAGGCAACGTTCCAAGGATTTGTCAAATACCTCATGAGATATCATGCAGAAGGTAGCCAAGACAATGTTTCTCTGTTGTACTAGGCATGGAATAATGTCCTGTTGTGCAGGACATGAAATAATGGTTGTAAATTAGAGGAGGACAGTGCAGTAAGATCAACATTCAGGGAATGGAATCAGTTACCTAAAGAAGTTGTGCTCTTCTCCATTGAATGTATTTAAGCAACATCTGGACATACTGAATAGAGGCAATCAGTTTATTTGGATTCTTGTACTGGATAAGGGAGCTGAACTCAATGCCCTAAAATGTCTCTTCCAACCCAGTGATTCTATGATTAAAGTTTACCAGGGTAAACTTTATGATTAAAGCTACCAGGGCAGGTGGAATAAGGGAGCACCAAGATTTTCAGAAGTACAAAATACTTTAAGGGGGGAAAAAAACCTCCTGGGGGGCATTCCCAGTACCCATGGAATCCTGACTGACAGTTGAAAAGGGAGAGAAAATAGAAAATTTAATAATAAATCAAATAAATAAATAAAATCAAGGAGAATGAAATAAAATATCCTGGAAGAGTTCAGAATTCTAGCTTACAAGCCATCAACAGAACATTCCACACTGCAATGCTTTGTTACAGAATTCACCACTATATCCTTAATGTCTAATATGGTATATTTAAACTGGAGAAAATTCCAGGAGACTTTTATCACTCTTCAGAAGAAAATCATAAGCTGATTAGTTTAGCTGTGGAGTAGCTGTAAGCTTTAAGCAGTAGCAGTACAAGAAGCTGTTTGCTAAAAGCAACAGGCTAGAAGGATATAAGCCACTAATATAGTGTTCAAAACAAGCCTGCTCCATCTTTTCCATCACCTTATTGGCTGTGGAGAGCTTTCCCCTTAAGGGTGACTGATGAGGTAAAGGCCTCCAGAAGTGGGCCTATAAAAAAATTAAATTCAAACATGACTTAAGTTTTCTCACAGTTTCAGGGATCCCTGGGGCACATACAGCCCCAAGCCCCCCCCCCTTTTTTTTTGCACTGGCTGTGGAAAGATTGCCCATCCCTGTTTTTAAGGCAAAATGAAAAACGTTTCCAAGTTACACAAAACAGAACATTGAGAACCATGTTACTTAAAGATGGCACCAACTCCATATTACACCTGGCCAGCTATGTGGCAAAGAGGATTCATGGCAAAATAGAGCTTTTGCCTTCCGATTGCTGACCGGACAACAGAGTCTTGAGAGCATTTTGATATTTTAAAATTGTACACTATGGGGCGAGGAGTGGCATTTATTTTTAAATGCCATATTCCCAATGTAACTACCTTTACACGCAAAAAGAATCTGAAGATTAAAGAAGACCTCAGTTTGCAAAACATTCACCGAATTATACACTGGAAGTTACAAGCATATATCAACAACAGAAAGTTTGTTCAATAGTGGTGTGATCAAAACGTTTGTTTGACACTAATCCACCTTAACTAATCTGAGTGTCATGTTTCACTCAACAGGCCATGTGATTTTGGGGAGAAAGGGAAGGAAAGAGAGAAGGAAGGTAGGAAACCACGTGATACATCCACTTACCCAAATTAAGGAAGTCTGTGCTAGAGGAAGGAGGCGGTGCACTGTGTGTGGAAGGAAACATAGCAGGTACAGTTGGTGCATTTGAACTAAGAAAGTCACCAAAGAGATCAGGACCGGTAAGAGTTGGACTGTCTGCATTGACTGTGAATGGGTCAAACTGGTCAGCTAAAGATAAAACAAAACACAACACAACATTGCTGGTGTTACTTGAGATGCTTCCAGAAATAAGGCAAACAAAATATGAGATTCTGCTCTTGCAACTATAGCAAGCCTGAGGAAGTGCCGACGCAAGGCATATTAAGGATAATTTCTTTCTAGAGGTTAAGAGTGGGCCTTACCCTACCTTCACTGAGGATTAGGGCTTAAATGCTATTATATAACAAAAGGATTTCTAATCATCAGAAAGAGCAATGATCTTCTGCAATAATTCCTCAGATATCTGTCCACATTCAGCCTCTTCAGTCTCTTGACTTTCAATTAAGAAAAATCTGCAACCGCTGAACCACGCGCCCTTCACAAAAAGCCAACCAAGGTTTATACTAAAAGAAAGCTTGCTGACAAGCTGAAATTAGCACGAAAGTCATCAGCAGAAGGAAACCTAACAGGTCTTCCTTTAAAAAAGTCAACCCCTGCGGCCTAGTGACCCTAACAGTAGTAGAAAAGCCATACTGTACCAGTCAGAAGGGAAGGCATGACTGATTTTTTTCAAAAGCAGACACAAAGGGGGGAAAAGAAAAGGAAAATACAGAAGAGCAGCCTCCAGCCTGAAGGTATTTCACTGCCTACTGTCAAGCAAAAGCTGAGAGCAGCTGCTCGGGAGCCGTATTTATATCCAGCAGGGAGGAGAGCGCCATGCTGTGGCCAGCAGGCAATCTGGCAGATGCTCCACCTGGCCACTCAAAGATTTTAAGAGTCACGACTCCTAGAAACTAAGATACAGTAATATTAGTTGGGAGCACAACTGCAAAGTTGCTCATTTTAGCAACACACTCCCCCCCCGCCCCCCGCCGTTTCAAGCAAAACTAACCGGCTCATCTCCAATCATTTCCATCACACATCAGCAGCAGAATGTAATAAGAAACAAGGTCTTTTTCAGAAACAGCAGAGTCCTCACCTATAATCTTGTGTCCGGAGGCATTCCAGACAATCACAGCTGCCCTCATCTGATGTCAGGATATCTTACAAGCATTGGAACAATTTGCTTTCTCAAGGCAACCTTGAGGACTGGGAGGGCAGGATCTTGAGAGATAACCATACCACAGTAGCCTTCCACAAACTTCATCAAATTAATGAAAGTTCCCACTGCATTTCCAGCCATTAGAAGACACAGCCCCTAATTCTACATTCTGCTTAGGTTCTGAGGGAGGAGCATATACGGTAGCTAAACTTTGCAGTGGATACAAGTCAAGGTGAATACCGCAAAGGTGAACACACCATTTTTGTGGTTTCTAGGAATGCACAACCAGTCACACCTTTCTCCAGTCAGATTCTGAGAGCAAATACAGTCATTGAGAATTCAGAAAGCAGACCAATTGATCAAGAGCCAAATGATTGGGTCATGTGGGACTGCCTTAAACATCTACTTGACATATGAGTACCCCTCCTAGATTGCCAAATTCTAAACAAATGATTTAATGTTCAGAGAGACTGCCTAACAAACACCCCCCTGCCACAATTTTATAAATCTGTTATGCTACGGTTAGTTTCAAGAACATGGGACCCTCTGTTATGCGCTGGACCAGATTTCCCATCACACTGGAGGAGGCCAGACTGAAACTGACTAAAATATTTGGTTGAAGAACTCTACAGAAATCTGCTTCATCACTGTAAGGCACTTTTAAACCTTATGAAGAAATGAAAGAGGTGGCATTTTGGGCTCACATGGAGCCCTCATTGTGCCCATTATACAGTAGAGATGGCAACGGTTGTAACACATTAGACACCCCTGTTCTGTCATCTCTTTCCCTTTGGAGATAGCTCGTGGGATCAGTAAGATCCCTTATACCGAAAAACAGGCAGCAAGAACCCAGTTGGAACGTTAATTTCTACAGACAGAAACGGGATAGAAAAAAAATGTATGAGTATTGGAAGCTGGTTGTGAAGCTCATATATGGCAATCACATGACCGCAGGATGCTGTGACGGCTGTATGTGCAAGGATTGGTTGCAAAGCTTTTTTCCCAACCTTCTTTGAACAGTCGCTAAACAAGGCAGTCAGTAAGCGAGAACTATCCGTATGGCTAACTTTGATAGTATCCAGGAAAAAGCTAACACTGATCACATTATTCTTTGATGTTATTAAACTGTAAGTATGCACCTCTTAAGAATTAACTGTTAAACCCAAGTTAAACCATTCTTGCTTTACAGCTCTTGCCTTTGTCTTTAAGGTAAGGTAATAAGGTGTAACAATGGCAGGAAGAACTGATGGATTAAACCAAATAACCACTACATATTATTGATCAGTGTAATCTTTTTCATTTCTCTCCCCCTCCACAAACCTCCCAACAAACTTATACATGGCTTGTTCTGCTATAAACACAAACGCTAGAAATCTGCCATTAAAAAATAATAATAAAAAAAAAAGCTGAGATTCTCAAGAACCGTCATCTATTGAAACATTCCATTTTATACTCCAGAGCAGTTTTTTTTTCAAACTGGGTTCCGTGGAAAGACTAATAGAAGAAAAAACTCTTCAGAAGGCAATGGCGGGGGGAACTCTCTGCAAGGGACTAAGGCACAGCAGAAAAGGCAGGGTTGTCAGACGACAATCAGAAGCCCTGCCCCTCTTGATCACAGATTTAGCACCATTGCCAGAAGAAACAAAAATAGCAATGAAAAGGAAGCTCAAGAAACCTACCTGTAGAAGAAGAGGTGGCTGCTGCTGAGGAACCATTGCCCTGGGGATTTGCCGAGGGCTGGGACTGGCCACCAAAAAAAAACTCTGCTCCTCCACCTAGGAGGTCTGCAGTTGAGTCTTCTGAAATTTCTGGAGCGCTACCAACAAACAGGCCATTCAGCAAGTCTGCATTGCTGGAAGAACTCTTCATCTCTGTTGGAGGCTGGAGCAGTTCAGGGGGAGCCTCTGAATCTAGCCCAAGCAAGTCAATGCTGTGTTCTTCAGGAGTCTCTTCTGACTGAGCAGCTGGCATATCAAAGCCAGCTTCAAAAAAATGCTTGCCATCTTTCTGTTCCAGGAGGTGCATCTCTCGTTCCTCAGAAGGTCTAACATCATTGGGGAATGCAGAAAATTCCTCACTGGAAGGCTCATTCTCCTTCTTTTCCTCAACAAGCCCAAGACTCTCTTGAGAAAAGGGACCTTCAGGAGCAGTTTCAGACTTTTTTCCTTCTGTTTATTTAAAAAAAAAAAGTTTATTTCTTTCTTATATTCATATCCTGCTTTTCCCCAAGGAACTCAAAGCAAAGCATATGGGATTCTGTTCTGTTATCAACATAATAATTCATCTAAAGGCACCGGCTGAGTACAACGGCTGAGTTCAGAGCAACAATATAACTCTACATATCAACAACCACTTTTCCCATGGGGCATTTCGGTAAAGCTCCAAGTGGCAGTCCTCAAATTGCCATGCTGCCAAGTCTTAGCATAGTCTTGAGAAGTGTGGATTTCAACTCCTAGAATCCCCTAGTTAGCATGACCACTGCCGAGAATTCTGGGAATTGCAACCCCACATTTCGAGACTGCCCAGTTTGAGGAAGAGTGTCTTACTGCAACTGACACCAACCCCAGAGCCCTCTTTTGCCACCTTGAAAAAGAAACTTAAGTAAGGAGTTTGGCCAAAGCTGTTACTGAGGGAAAACACTTCAGAAAATCATATCCACCATAACCAAGAGGAACCATGGAAGCAAACTGTCTACTTACTTTACGCATCTATAATGGGTGAAGCAAGGCAGATGTGTTTAAAAGAAAAGACACATTAGAAAGCACAGCTCCACCACTAGCTTTGTTTAAATACCAATCTTGGGTTTTATGCTGACTTGGTTGTCGCAGGCTAACAGGTTATGAACAAAACAGGGTTACCAACCACTACTAAAAACAGCAATTTAGATTTAACCATTAGGACCCAGTACATGTGTTTCATTTTCTCTTCCCTGCTCTCCTCCTTTTTCCTGCGTGTTATGGAATTAAGATTGTAAGCCTAAGGGGAGGGATGAGATCAATCATCCATAAGCTGCTCGGAGAACCTTTGAGGCTAAGAGAAGGGTAAAAAGAGAGTTTAGAAAAATGAAGAAAGCCAACACAGCTTTTGCCAGTAGCAGATCCTTTCCCTTTACCTTGCCAGTCTAGTGTATGAAAGAAATTTGCCTCAGCACTGCTGCTCTCTGGAGAGTCTGGCTCCACAGGTGGACCTTCAGAAGATGCTTCTGATGTCGAGGCTTCTGCTTCATATTGGGCAGTTGATCCCGGCTGCCTAGGCAGTTCAGGCTTACCTATCAGATGAAAAATAAAAATCAAACCCAAGGAATATAAAAACCTCCTCTTTAAGCCTCCTGTTTCTTTTGGAACTGGGTTTCTATTTGGTGTGTAAAAAGGAAAAACAAAAAGGCTCCTCAAGTAGAGACTGAAAAGGAAGATTATGGAGAATTTAAGTAGGTGCTCTTTCTTTTTCTTACCAAATTTTGATAAAATCTCTTGCTGTTCTTCACGGCTGGAAAAAAGGATCTTGGGGTTTAGACCTTTAATGTTCAGATTATCCCAGGGAGCTCGTTCCATGCTGGGCCTATTTCGTGGCTCCACTTCCACTTCTAGATTCACTTGAAACAAGTCAGGATACTTCTCTTGAATATCACAGGCATCCAGATCATACCTGTAGTAATATTACATTAGTTAGAAGCACTTTTTTTTTTATAAAAGAAGGACATTGCACAGGGAAACCTCTTGAAGCAAGATTATAGAGCCCTTAAACAAATCTCATTTGCTTCAGTGAGGCTTGCAAAGGGCAGCCTGCCCATAGATTGTGACCTTAGCTATTTTATTCCTCTAAAAAAAACCCCATCATGATGAAATATAAGGCAAAGAACTTGACTTTCATAAAACAACAGAAGATTCCCCTCCCCAGCCTCTTAAATCTTGAAGAAAGATCAGATTTTAGGACAAGAGTTGTTAATCAGCACTTAATGAGGGCAAAATTGGGGTTACCAGGCTCAGTGCTATCGAAACCACACTGGAAACCAGTAGAAATAACATTAATTGGAGAAAAGAGCTTTAACCCCCCCTTGTAATGCATATGAATTCCTCTTATTCAGCTCTGCTTGTGTTTGGTTATTATGTCTGGCCAAACCTAGAGCAATTCAAACGTTACTTCAGAGCCCAACATTTGGAGGCTATTTTAGCTTCACTTTGAAGTGACTAAAAGCAACACTGAATGCTACTGTA